ACTCAGGAAGCAGAGGCAGGTGGATCTCTGTGAGTTCATACAGGGAGAAAAAAAAAAAAAAAAAAAAAAAAAAAAAACCCAAAACAAAAAAATTAAAAACCGGTGAAAGATTAGAGTTCCAGCTATAACCAATACTTGACTACACAACTCCTGACTGCAACCAGCTTGCTCAGAGCCCTGCCTGTCTAGGCTCCCTGGCCATGTGTTTCTTCCTTCAAATGAATAAATACTCAGGTTTTTATTTTGTTTGACTAAGAGGTATAATCACAGGCAACAAAGCTAGGCAAACCTTCCCCTCTGTCCTGCGGGGTCAGACTGGCACTCAGCAGAAACAGTGCCTGGTCCAGATCCTGTCTGAGGAAGAATACACAATGAATTTCCTTTTAAGGAGAAGATGTTTGTGTTTCTAAATATAAAGCCAGTTCTAGTGGTCTCCTGGTTCCTGTAGTACAAAACTTCCAGTCCTAGCTTACAGAGCGCTTGGGGGACTCCAACGAAGCCAAGAGACAGGTTGAGTCCCCAAGGCAGGGTGAGGCTGGGCACCCTTGCTCCGTTCTGGGGTAACTTCAGAGGACCCACAGGGCCGGCCGCCATGGCCTGCGGTCCCTACTTGCCTTCCGGCCGTAGGGAGGATGCTAGCAGCTGAACGGGCGTGGGCGGGACCGCGTTCCGGATTCTGCTCTCCAGGCCCCGGGGCCGAAGAGCTCTGTCACCTCTGCTATGTGCCCTACTTAGCCAGATCTAATTCAGCTCGGGAGCCTCCAGCAATATTTTTAGCCCTTGGAGATTGGGTCCAGGCCAAAGTGGGTGGAGCTGGGGAGAGGGAGTTGGCTCACCGCGGGGCCCGCACCTGCCACCGGGTCTCCCGCCCAGCCCCCTCCCTTCCCTCGAGACTCCGCCGCGCTGTGGGTTGCAATGACTGCTGCGGGGCCCCGGCCTCGCACCGCCACCCTGCCCACGAGGGGCTCACGCTCCTGTTACCCCAACGCCGCTGCCACCGGGACAGCGGGAGCCCTCCCCCGCTCTGCGCCCGGCCCGTTACCGTCTGCGGCCAGCCTCCGCGCCGCTCGGGGCCCCGCCGGCCTCCTCGCAGCTCACATCACCGGGGAGTTGCAATGACTGCTGCGGGGCCCCGGCCTCGCACCGCCACCCTGCCCACGAGGGGCTCACGCTCCTGTTACCCCAACGCCGCTGCCACCGGGACAGCGGGAGCCCTCCCCCGCTCTGCGCCCGGCCCGTTACCGTCTGCGGCCAGCCTCCGCGCCGCTCGGGGCCCCGCCGGCCTCCTCGCAGCTCACATCACCGGGGACCGCGGCCGGCTCGCGGGCAGCT